GATTTATCGAATTCTTCTTTTTGTCGCAGCGCCGCCCCGGATTGGTCAAAACTCGGCAGCCGCACTTACGAGAGCTTCAACTCGGAGATAGCTATTGCTCATATAAGTACGCCATCCGGATACGTTGACCGACCAGGATTCTTGCTGCAACAGCTCGCTGCGCAGCGAGAGGAGCGAGCAACAGCCATTGTCATTAGCAAGTTGTACGACTACGCACCCGCCTGTCGCCTTGCCGCCGACACCCCTATCTGCGGTTCATCGCAATAAGTATAAGTCTTTTTAGCCATAACTTCGTTATAAAACCACGGAAATTGACGGCTTGGAACCCGTCAAGATTTGTCCTTGGTCATCGTAAGACCTTAAGGCTGAGGGTCACGTGGTCATGGCGCCTATTACAGGCGGCGTGGCGTGATGATGCAGGTGACAAGAGCGTCGTCACGCTGCGCCTGTGTCGCGTTGGACCTTGGCGAGAACCGGATATGGATACATCATCCGGATAGGAATCCGTTGTCCGGATAAGGACACTCGTCCGGATACGACGCATACACAGACACGAGTTTGTGATATTGGATGATGACGACGACGACCAAGAAGCCGAGCTGCCCGTGCTGCCACGCGTCCTCGGTGCTGCTCCTCGAGCGCCGGCTGCTCTGGATCTGCGGCGCCTGTGAGCATACGTTTGCTGCGGCGTCGAGCGCGCAGCTCGTCTCGTTCGTCGGCTACACGCGGCCAAAGTTGAAGATCTTCCTCTCGTGTCGGCGAACCGCGCTCCATGGCACATGGCCTCACGCAGACGCGTAGATGGGCACGACCACTACCAGCCCCTCGCCATGGCCATCAAGACGCAGCGTACGCCACACCTTGGTTCCGGGGCGCGGCTAATACCTTTGTCTAGTGCAGGAGCGAGGCCATTACGTCTGGGTCGACCACGAGCAGCTGACGCCAGGTACTTGCGTCCCTCGACTCACCTCTTATCGATCATGCAGGCTGCGACTGGGAAACAGACATATCCAATGGCCTCAACCGCGTGAAAGAGGCCCAGGAGCACGGCCGTGTCTTGCTGCTCATGACGCCGCACGCGCTTCGGCGCCCGGACGGCTATTGCCTCAACGAAATCGCGCGGGGTAGACGCCGCCACACGTTTCGATCGTCGTCTCACCTCCTCGACCTGTGTGCATAGCCATCACGCTGCGTCTGAGCATCTTCCCGATCTTCCTCGCCGCGTGCGAGCCGCCCGCGTCCATTTCGCACCTGCCGTACTTTGACATGCGGTCGGTGGTGCCAACGCGCGACGACGAAGAGTCGCTCGACGCCTGGAACGCGCGCCTCGATACGGTTGTGCACAGCGCCGCGTTCCGTGACAGCGTCACCCGCTGCCTCAGCCTCCTCGAGCTCGTACGTCCTTCTTCGTTGGACGCGACTCGAAACATAGTGTATGCATAGTGCGACAGCATGCTTGCATATCCCATGGCCGCCATTGCCGGCGTCGACAATGTCGGCTTGTGCCTCCCCCAGAGCCTCCCTTCGCCGCCGGTCGCCGCGCTCAAGCCCGAGGCCGGCGCGGCCAACTCGCGCTTTGTGTTTAGCTTTGGCGAGAAGTGCACGGAGCTAGCGCGTCGGCTGTATACCGACTTGACTGCCGCAGGCTTTGCGATCCACGACGTCTCGCTGCAGCCGCTGCGACCGCGCATGGCGGCCGAGCACGAAGACGCGCGTCGCAAGGCGCTCGACTGGGCCCAAGAAGAGAAGAACGGCAAGCTCGTGCTCTTCATTACGCCGGGCAGCGTCGGTCGACCCCACGGCGTCTGCCTCAACGAGATCTCGCTCGCCATGTCCAAGGGCCTTGGGTTCGTGCCGCTCATGCTGCGTCCGTGCGAGATTCCGCTGAGCATTTGCCGCATCCAGTGGCTTGACATGTGCGACGTGTGTGCGGTCCACCGTCACGAGGCGTCAAATGAGATCGCGTGGGGCCTCCATGAAGCCCGGTACAAGACCCGCTACCACCAGCTGCTCTCGGCCCTCGACGGCCAAATCGGCCTTGATCACGACGGCCAGCAAGCGCGGCTGTTTAGGTACCTACTACACATCGTTGGATTGTACGATCGTTGTGGCTCATATGCCGCTAGCTTGCTCTCGCCGTTCTCGTTCCAGTCGCAGGTACGTCGCGCGGATGCTTTGCGGTCTACAGCCTAAACGACACTTGCGTAGATTTCCAAGCTCACGCAGCTCTTTGTCGCACGCGAGTGGGTCCTCGCCAAGTACTTGACTCGCAACTTTCTTCGTAAGTATACTATCCATATGTTGAATAGATACGATGCGTGGGTCCAGACACCGAACGGGAGCCGCATCTTTGTCATGTCGGGTGTCATTGGCTCGGGCAAAAGTGCTATTATGGCCCAAATTATTCAAAACCGCCCGGAAATTGCAGCCTTCCACTTGGCGTCGCACGAAGAAGACCAGACGCAGAGCGCGCGCCGGTGCGTGCTCAGCCTTGTGTACCAGCTCTCGACGCAGCTGCCCGAATATGCCAACGTGATCAAGTACACCTTCGCCACGTCTTTATTCTCCACTATCAAAAATTGACCTAGCTCTCAAGAGCCCCTCGAAGAAATCGTGCCCGTCAAGTCGCTCGTCGACCTCATCCACGCTCTTTTGATTGCACCGCTGAGTGCGATTGCGCACCCCGCGTCGATTCTGGTACGATGCCAATTTTACCAAATTTTTCCAACATTTTCCCACTCGGTTGCACCGAATTTCAACCCTATTTCCAAGAATTTCAAAAATTCGACCATTGATGCTTGTAGGTGCTGCTCATCGATGGCATCGACTGCTTTGAACCGGGCTTTGTCGCCACGCTCACGGCCCACATGGACCTCTGGCCGTCGTGGGTGCGGTTCGTCTTTGGGACACGCGAGGACCCGAGTGTGCTCCAGACGCTCCAGGCGTACATGCCGCCCGCGGTCTCGCTGGACCCATCGCTTCCAGACTCGAAGCTCGACATCAAGGCGTATTTGCATCTCGCGCTGACGCCGCAACTGACGTCCGAGAGCCAAAGCAAGCGCAACGAGATCGTCGACTTCATTGCAGCGCGCTCCGAAGGGCTCTTTCTTTACGCGCGCCACCTCGTGAACGCGATCGCGGTCGGCCAGCTCCAGCTGAACCAGCTCGACGCGTTCCCAACCTCCATGGGCGGCTGCCTTCAGCACTGCTTTGATGCGCAGTTTCCGTCCATCGAGTACTACAAGGTTGTCTTTGATGCAAGGTATGGACGATAATGACGCAGCCGGTATCGACGTAGAAGACGATCCGCCCCGTACTTGAAGTGCTCTGTGCCGCCAACGAGCCGCTGCCGCTGTCGATGTTCCGCTCCATCTTGGCGCTTGCGGTACGCAGACTGTCGCGACATTATTCGTAAGACGCGGGGTAGGTCTACGAGCAGCAAGACATTCTGGCATGGTTTGGGTCGCTCTTTTACATAACCGACAGCGACATCATCAAGCCGTTCCACTCGAGCGTCTTGGATTGGCTGCAGGACGCCAAGTCGGCGGGTCCATATTTCGTCGACGCCGAGTGCGTCATCGTCCGCTCTATCGTGTTAGGATGACAGACCCTCTTTGTGTGCAGGAACGGCCACTACGCGATCGGTGTCTGGTGCTACAACGAGTACCAGCGCAGTGTCAAGACGGGTGTCGATTTCTCCAAACTCGAGTACGACTCGAGATGACAAGTTGTCCATCCTAGTATCGATGATGATGGTATGTAGTTTTGACCTCGAGACAGCGCGGGAAACCGCGACGCGCCGCGCACGCATCTACATTGTGCGCCACGCCCGCCAGCACCTCGAGGTATAGTTCAACGAGGCGAGCATGGCGCACACGACGATCTCGTAGCAACTGATTGACGAGACGCATTTTTTGGCGGCCATGGACATGATGATGTTCTTCAACACGGACGACACGTTCCTTTTGGCCCAACGACTCCTTAGCATCCGCGAAATCGGTCTCCAGAGGTCCGTCCTCGTCGTCGCGACTCGTATCGGGTCACGTACCGTCGTCTAGCTTCTTCCACGGCAAGATCTCGCGCGACCAAGCCCAAGCGCTCCTCAAGCGCAACGCGCAGCCCGGCGCGTTCTTGATCCGGTACAGCTCGGCCCAGAAGGCGTACTGCGTCTCGTTTGTGCCGGCGCGCATGACGCCGGGTGTGTACCAGCACAACCTCATCTACCATCTCAACTCAGTACCTATTTCGCTCGTTGACAACACTGTAGCTCACCGAATGGGATAGGGCGCGTACTCGCTCGCACCACCGCACGAAGTACATGCGACGACCGAGATCTTCTCGGACCTCGTGAGCTTCGTCGAGGCATTCCAGCGCCGTGGTATCCTCAAGGCACCGATTCGCTGCGTTGGCACGATCAACCGGTCGATTTCCAAGTCGGCTTGAGGAAGGTGACGTGGCGGCCTCTCGTGCCAGATCCCGGCCGAAACGCTTCCTTTTGTAACCGCCGAGAGGGTAGTATCGTGTAGACCGTAGTAAAACGCTCATCGACTCAGTTCTGATGTTTGCGAGGAGATGGCGCCACGTCATTGAACGCCCAAGCCATACGAGCTCGAGTGTGCGATCTCTGTGCATGCGAGACTGCCCGAGCGCCCATGACCCGCCACCACGAAGCTCAAGGACTGAGTGCCCTTGCTGGGCTGCGGCTGCTACGATCAATGATGCATCGGCTTGAACTTGGACGATGCATACCACTTTGAAAGACCGAAACTACACTACAGTATGCTACCAAACCACAACCGCGGTTGCTACAGTGTACCATGCAACTCAACGGCCACCGTCTTGACGTCCTATACTATAGCTCGCATGCCGCCAACGACGACGACGACAACGGAAACTCGATCGCACGCTCTGCAGCAACCGCCTTTGGTTGTTGACGCGGTTAGATACGAGTATAATTTACACTACATTTCGTAGTAGCCACGGCCTACCTCTAGTACATCTACGAGACGCGAGAACAAAGACACGAGGTCACAACCGACGCAGAAAGGGCAAATGACGCGTCGCGCTGTGCGCACTGTAACACTGCGCCTGGTGGCGCTGCGGAAAGCTCCCAACAAGGAGCTCATGGTACGTAACGAGCGAGAGACGACCACGCGACCGAGTCAATATCATGTATCGTGTCCCAACGGCAAATATAACAATTGAACGACGAGACCAACAAAACGACTTGTGCGTCACAATGCATAGCGCGCTGTACACTGTACACCCACGTGTAACTTGTGCTCTGCCTACGGTAGCGAAGCTGATGTCGCCGCGACAAGAGTGGCATAGCGTAGCGACACCACGGTGGCGTCGTGTCTGTTGGCGGCCCCGGCGACGCCACTGACGCCGTTGCTGCTAGCCTAGCCTAGGCATCTAGTCCATGCCCTCGAACGCAGCCATGGCGCCAGCTGGGCACCTCCACGGCGCCTGGCGAGCCAGTCGGCAATCATCTGATCCCGTCGGCGCGTATCCGGATGCTTCGTATTGACCAATCGGCGGGCCGCATGGCCTGTAACTCGCTGGTTTTTATGCGCTGGGTGTGACGCCACTCCATTCTGCTCCTTGGCACAAGCGTGATGGACCCGATGCTGCTCTCGTCGGCGAAGGAGGCGCCGATTTACGTGAGCGGCCTCACGGAGCGCCGATTCTGGAAGCGCGACGATGTCGCCTGCTACGTGTGTCAGAAGTACTTCAACAAGTACCGGCGAAAGCACAACTGCCGCGTGGTAACACCGACTTTGCTGTTTGTCGTATCCATGGCTCATGATGCGCGTCGACGAATGTAGTGCGGCGAGCTCGTCTGCGACTCGTGTACCGAGCACCAGCAGCTCGTAGTCGTGCGCGGGCGCGGCGTCACGAACACGCGCGTTTGCTATGCATGCGTCATCCTGGCGACCGACGACGACGAGACGCCGGCTGCCACCTTTGGCGCCATGAGCCCCGACCGCCCATCGTTTGACCTGCCGTCGCGCCACCACACGGCGTCGTCGCCAGCGCTTCGGGACAGGGCCCCACCGCCGCCGCTCGCGTCCTCGACGGTCTCGTCGTCGGGCGCCCCGCCGCCCGAGTGGGGTTACCCGTGGCCGTCCCCGCCCACCGTACCGGACGAAGCGCAGCGGCTACGCGAGCTGTACAAGCTCAACATTCTCGACTCGCCGCCCGATGACACGTGCGACATCATGTGCGAGACAGCAGCCCAAGCGCTCGAGACGTCGGTCGCTGCGATTAGCTTTATCGACGCCGACCGGCAGTGGTTCAAAGCGCGCCTTGGGCTCCTCCAAACGTTCATTGCGCGCCACGTGAGTCTCTGTGCGCCATTGCTCGTCACCAAGACGTCGGTCGCGATCCCCGATTTGCAGTTTGATGCGCATTTTCAGCACAACCCGCTCGTGACCGGGGCGGCAGCGATCCGCTTCTACGCCGCCGCGCCCGTCCTCGTCAAAGGCCACGTGGTGGGCACAGTCTTTGTGTTTGACCAGTACCCGCGGTCGCCCGGGGCGTGCGACCGGGCGCGCGAGACCCTCGAAAACGTCGCGACGTCGGTCGAACTGTACCTTGAAGATTGTCAACTCTCGATGGAACAGAGCCGCCCGACCGACCGGCGGCGGTCTGTCACCTTTGGCCCGTCCCCGACATTGGAGCAGCGTCCGTCGACGGCCATGCTCGAAGACAACGCGAGCGACGATGGCATTCACATGCGTGCACCGTCGACGACGATCCTCGAGTCGGACACGTCACCGCACCGGCCGCGGCGTGCCGACCGGACCTTCGACTCGATCGATACGACGGCGCTCGCTGACATGAGCGAAGGCACGTCGTTTCCAACGACCGACGTCTTGCCGCAGCTCCGTCTCGACGACGATAACGACGAAGAGGAAAAGCAGAGCGACGAGGTCCAGACCGAGTCACGCCGGGGCGTCCTGGAAGCGCTCGAGAGCGGCGAAGTGTCATTGCGGCTTCTCGATCTGCTCACAATTAGCGCGCGCACGCAGCAGCAAGTGGCCACCATGGCGCCGTAGCCCACGTCCTATTTATTACCGTTAGTCCAAGCTCTTGATGTTGTGGTGCACACCGTGTTGCAACAACGTAGCAGGTAGTAGGTGTTTAGGAAGCAGACGTCAAAGGACTCGGACTGCGGTCGAGTGGCCACACTGCGGCCAACAAAGCATCTACTAGTATCTACTAAGCTTAGTACGGAACGATACAACGAGACTCTACCACCGAGTACCATCGGACGGCGCTGCCTCCCCACGGCACCTCCTCTCGCTTGATGACGATGCGTCGGCGCTGCAGCCCTGCACTAACGTTAATAAGCTGTCTGGCCTGCAGCCAAAGCTTCGAGCGACTTGTCGTCGTCGTCGTCGTCGTTGCCTACACTGTACAACAGCCGCGGACGCACCATCTGTCTGGGCTGGAAAACGCTGGGAAATGCAAAGTGAGATTCTTGCATTTCCAAGCATGGTGCCGGCAACGCAAGGAAAGAAGCCGCCGCTCCTCGTGCACGCGTCACGTATTCACCACGACTGGATGCGCCATGCGTCCGAGTGCATCATCTGCAGCAAGCCCTTCTCGCTCCTTCGGCGGCGTCACCACTGCCATATCGTACGCGCCGTTCTTTCTTGTCCGGTCACTCGCATTCTCTGTAGTGCGGTGGCATTGTCTGCCGAAGCTGCAGCGAGCACGAGACGCTCATCGTCCTGCCCGTCATGCAGGTGCTGCACAGCGTGCGCGTCTGCGTCGTGTGCCTCGACCAGTGTGACACGAACGGCGCGCCGGGCGAGTACGTGCCACGGCACAAGCCCGAGGCAGCGTGGAGCAATGCGTGGCCCGAGCCGCCGACGCCGCCCGACGAGCCCGCGCGTCTGCAATTCCTTGATCAGATTGCGCAGCATTTTAGTGCGTGGCATGAGTTTGACCGTGTCTGCGAGATGACGTCGTCGCTGCTCAAGACGCCGGTGATGGCCATTAGCATCATTGATGCAACGCACCAGCACTTTGCCGCGCGCATGGGGCTTGTCCAAGCCGACATTTCCCGCCACGTGAGTCTCTGCGCCCACGTTCTGTGCTCAAAGGCACCGACTGCCGTCCCCGATTTGACACAAAGTGCGCTCTATCGACGAAATCCCATGGTCGCCGGTCCCGCCAACGTTCGGTTCTACGCGTCCGTGCCGCTTTTGTCACCGCCCAATGCCCTTGTCCTTGGGACCGTCTTTGTCATGGACACGACGCCGCGGACTTTGTCAGAGTGCGAGGAGGCGCTGCGGCTGCTCGCCCAAGTGGCGCACGCTGTCATGCTGCGGATCGAGAGCGATGAGGTCGCGACCGCCGGGCGACTCCAAGCGATCGAGGACATGATGACGCGGACGCGCCAACAAGTCGACCACATGACCACGATGAGCCAGCGTTAGCATCTCGCGCTAATACCACTAGTATCGTCCGACGAGATGATGTATCGCCTTCGTGCATGCGCTGACGTTAATGCATGCGTTGCATACTTGGAGGCGGTGCTGGTCACCGGGTAAATGCACCCATGCTGTGGGCGCAAGGTCCTGAGCTTGCGGCGACGTTCCGACGTGCAATGGCCGAACGCATCACGTAGCTGCGATGGTTGCTGGCCTGCTGCGATGGCGGCACCTTGGTGTTGTTGCTTTGCATGCGTTGCTCACGCCGCCGACTGGCACTTGGATGGATCGCAGCCACTGCATTTGAACCGTGCGGCTCCCTCAACAATGGAGCCGGTCCTTGCGAATCGGTGGTCGTTCTCGTTCTGCTGGCACCACCACCTCGTAACCACCACCTTTGACGTCGCTGAACTTTCCCAGTATCATTCTCTCGGATGTCGATGACGACGCGGCGTGATGTACAATGCGCCACGGTGTCGTGTCCAAAGCTACCCAACACCGAGTATTGTGAGTGCTTACGCATCCACTGTCGTATCGTCGTCGTCGTCTGTCCTATCTCGACGACGCGCTCGTTCGATCGAATACTTCAGGAGCGATCACGGCATCGCATTATTGCATTTCACCATGTGCCAAGCCCTCGCCGAGTACTGGAAGGGTACTCTGAGCATATACGCTTCTGGCGAGTGGCGACAGCGCGCTGACTGAACCTTCTGCAAGGCAAAAGCTGTCGCCAGGGCTTCTTCTCGGGTACTTTGCTGCGCAACAACCCATTTTTCCGACCCCATGGTGCTGTCGCAACAGCCTTCAAGAATCCTGCTTGGGTGTGTTGCAAAAACCCAGCATCGCGCTCGTTTCTATGGGGCCGCCACGCGGATCTAACAGTTAGACTGTCGACCGAACGGCAACCTCGGTGTCGCATGGCGTTATAATTTGGTTATAACCATTGGAAAGGGCCATCTGGGTGATGGGTCGCGAACTGGCGCGTGGGCTTGTGGTCGCGACACCAGCGGATTTATACCCGCCACCAAGCGCGTGGCAGGTGACGGCTTGTCATTCACTTACTTGCCGCGTTCCGCGCACTAGCGTATTTATTCCATGCCGCTCAAGACTGGCCACCCGATCTTTGTGGAGCAGCTCCGGCCCCAGTACACGTGGGTGCCCAACGCGACGCGCAGTGTCTGCTACCTCTGCAAGCGCCGCTTTGGCCTCTTTCGCCACAAGAAGAACTGCCGTGTCGTACGTCATGACGCGTTATAACTTGTGTGCTCATCGTTTCGCTCTAGTGTGGTGAAGTTGTCTGCAGCAGCTGCACACAAAAGAAGCAGTCGGTCATTCTGGACGTGACGGGCTTTACCAAAACCCGCGTCTGCTTTGCGTGCATCGTGGCGTGCACGCTGCCACCGGCCGGCTCGAGCATCGCCGACCGCCACCAAGTGCACCCGATGGACACTAACCAACACGACTGTGTCCCGCGCGGGTCGCTCATCCGGACGTCGTCGCACGGGAAGCACCGCCAGTTGCACCACGCGCTTGTCCCGCACCCGGCGCACGGCCCGACGATCCGCGCCGAGAACGGAGCGATTTTGCGCCAGAGCTACATCCACTTGACGCCAAAAGCGTGGGATTACGAGCATTTTGGCAACAACTTTGTCGATACGGCGCGCAAAACCGAGACGCGACCGACCTCGATCCGGTACTCGGACATTCTCGGGAAGGGCAAGGGCCCGATCAAGCTCCTCGAGAGCGAGAAGGGGTCGCCGACCTCGGACGAGACGCGCAACACGCTCGTGCTGCAGCCGGCGCTGCCGCAGCCGCTGCTCGTGGCCGACACCAAGGCGACTGGGAGCTCGCCGCCGACCACGCCGCACTCGATGGTGCTCCACCTCCAGCACGACATGACGTACGGGTACCCGCTGGATTTTGACTGGGATTTCGCGTGGCCCAAGCCGCCGACGGTCGCGTTTGAGAAGCAGCGCCTCGACGAGCTCTTCAACTTTGACATTCTTGATGGCAAGCAAGAAGATGTGCTCGACATCATTTGCGACCTCGCCGCGCAGCGTCTCGAGGCGCCGTTGGCGGCCGTGAGCTTTATCGACCACGACCACCAATACTTCAAGGCCTCGACCGGCTGGCGCATTGCCGACGTGCCGCGCAACCAAGCGTTCTGCGCCCACGTGCTCCGCATCAAGGCGCCGTTGGCGGTCAACGACACGCGCCTCGACGCGCGCTTTGACCAGAACCCGCTCGTGACGGGGCCCCACGCCGTGCGCTCGTACCTCTCGGCGCCGATTCTGTCGCCGGTCTCGCACCTCGTGCTCGGCACGGTCTTTATCATGGACACGAAAGCGCGGACGTTCTCGAGTGCGCAGATCGACACGATCGAGCGCTTGGCGGTCGCGGCCGCAAGCCACATTGACTCGCACAAGTACCACAGCAAGATGACGACGGTGGCGGCACCCGTGGTGGGCGCCACCGACAAGCCGACGGTCGCCGAGGCCAAAGCGGCGGCTACGATCGAAGTACCGACCGAGACAGCGACGACGGCAGCCAAGGACAAGGGCATGGCGGTGATGCTCCAAGGTCTCTTGCAAAAGACGACGCAGACGCAGCAAGAAGTCGCGACCCGCGGCAGCGCCATGTCGCACACGTCGTCGGAAGCCTTTGAAGTCGACTAAATACAGGCACCTCATAGGGTTAGGGTAGAAGACACCAAGGATCGTTCGGTTCTTATATTGTACAAATAGACAACTATATATACTAGCACATGTTGTGGAATAGTAGATTCGCCTCTAGCAGATAGATATATGGTCCGACCTTGAGCGACATACTTGCGTCGGTGCATGCGACAGAGCGATGCCCGCCATGAGGCGCAAGGACTAGGCGAGAGGTGCGCTCGAGAGGTCCGGAGAGGACAGGGCGATACGCAGAAAAGGTGACCTTGCTATGCTTTTGCGGACCAAGTCTGGACAACACCTTGAAGGAACCCATCGCGGGCCATAGCTTGATACAAGAACTTATGCAGTATTTAAATATATATTAACGTGTTTCGCGTTATCTTCATAATCACACAAAGGCTTCGCATACTAGCAATCTCCTTGCAGCCTTTATGAACCGGAACTTGCAGGGACACGTGGCAAAATCGTTCATGTCCTCTCGCTCGTCACTCGAGCGCATTTAGCGTGGCTTCCATACGTCGAACGGCTTCGGCGAGCTTCGCAATCTGCAAATTGTCGTGTTCTACGATTGGGACGACCGTGAGTCGGAGGGGACTTTCGATCGGGCGGTTGAGAAGGTCCTGGAGCAGCGCGTCCATCGTGCCCTCCTTGGTGGTATGGGTTCGATCCTTGGGGGCGGCCATTAGATCCTCGGTACGCTTGGTGCCCCCGCGTGTAGTCTTGCAAATCGACAGTGGGGTTGTGTCCTTTGTATTGACGTCGCTCCTCGTTTCCATCTCGCAGGTACGTGGCGACTTGACAACTATGCAAGCGACCCAAGGTTATTCTTGGTGATTACCAAAAGTTGAGACATGTGTGTGCAAAGTAGCTTCGTTTTGATCGGCTAAATTATGGGAAGAAACGTAGTCGAATGGGCTAAACCTCGTAGCGAGCGATCGCATCATTCCTTGACGCGTGCAACTCGATAGAAGCACGTTTCTAGACACGCGATTTCACATGACGGGGCAACATGGGAGCTCAACACGGGGAGACTGTTGTTGCTGCCGTCCATGACGAGTGCATCCGAGTCGAAAGGCGAACATACCTGCATCGACGACTGCGGACTTGAGAACTTGACATTGCCAGGAAGATCCTGTTCAGGCCGTGGTTTACCAAAGCTCCCACTGTGAGTTGTCTTTACTACATGGTCGAGCGACAGGAAGAAGATCGAAACTGCGTGTCTGTTGCACCCAAATCTTGTCCATGAACTCGTTGTTGCTGTTTTTTCTTCCTACCTCGCTTACCACCGGCGTGCATCGTAGCGAGCGTCAACAGACTGCGTAGCTCGTTAGTGTCGAGCGCGACGACTGGAATGATCCATGGACAGAGTACCCTTGTGTTGCTGGGGAAGAAACATGTCGTGCTCTGTCTGATATCATCCCACAAAGGAATCAGCAAACACCATTTTGAAGGAATGTTGCTCGTTGGTGCTGGGGCAAAGTCCAAAACCGCTGAGCTCACTCAGATGGCCCCGAAGTTTAGCCTATCAAATGACGATTTTCCGTGATTGACTTCCTTCTGGCCAATCAGAGTGAGCTCAGCGGTTTGGGGCCGAGAAACTGAGTAGGTTTGGAATTTTGTGCGGCTCGTTCAGGATGGAAATGGCCATCGCTCTCAACACTTGAATTTCAAAAATCCACCGCCGACGACACGACCATGCCAGAGACCAGTTCCCACCACCGCAGTGGGGCGACCACTGGTCGCGAGCAACGATCGATTCGTGCAGACTTGGTCGTGGCACCACGCGCGTTCAGCACCGACTGCGCACGCTGCTGTCGCCCATTTCACTCCGCCGGCGCAGCCCACGCGTGTGCGACGGTACCGTCAGCCTTTCCTTGTTTCAATGAGCGCGTGTTTATGGCTGCGGTTAGTGCGGCGACCACTACTGCGCCGACTGCTTGCGGAAGCACGCCGCACTGAGCCCTGACGGCGCCTTATCCTACGACGTGCGCATCTGCTCGACGTGCGCCTCGATTGCGATTGCAGACCGCGGCAGCTACGACCAGTGCAAGGTGCTGCAGCCGCAGATCCGTGCGCTCTTTCACGCCCCCGACTTTCCGTCGAATACAACGTCGTTGGACTGCAACAGCGTCTTGTACATAGCACTCGACCTCGACACAAAAGGCATTCTCTGCGAGACCGGCCTCGCGACAGAGGACGCGTTGGTGTCCCTCTACGAACGCAACTTGTGTGGGTCGTGCGGCAGCTGGGGCCGCTTTCTGCTGCCAAAGCGCCACTGCGCTATGGTACGTTGGGTGTTGTTAGCTCCATGCGTGTGACGCTGACATTCTGGTAGTGTGGGGACGTGTTTTGTGCGCGGTGTCTGCTCTCCAAGCTCGCAGCGACGTCGCCGACACTGAGCATGGTACATGTCGTCCCCCAGTGCTTCAAGTGCAACGCCAAGCAAAGCTTTGGGCCCAACCCATGGCTTCAAGCCGCTGACTCCTCTCGTATCGCCGATCCCTAGTATGGTCCAAAGGTCGATAACCCGTTTGTGAAAATCGCAGCTCCAACAACGCTCATTCGAATATCTCGACTCTGTATTGTGTTTTGCCGTTGGATCCAACCCGACCCCCTGGGCAGTGAAACTGACTTTATTCACAGTCATGTAAGTTCCACATCACCGAATACATTCTCTGCCAGATCACACTTGGGTCAAAAATCATTTTGACCGATCGAACGTGCACAGTGATCAAGTTGCTGCACGAGGAAATGGACACCAAGCGCGACGCAAACACCGAGAGCGCACTACGTCCGTCGACTCCCGAGGCAGCGATGGAGCCGAGCCCTGTTCGTCCACAAGCGCCGGACCCGGGGGCGATGCTCATGGACTTTAGTATTCGCATCCAACAAGTTCATGGCCCCATGACAGCGGACATGTTCCAAGCGCTCCAAAACCATGCTGAACAAATGGATAAGCTTGCGGAAATCGTCCGGCGCATGGAGGACAAGCTGAATACTGTCGCGCACGAGGGTGCAGAGAGGCAGTAAAAGCTTCCTCTAATGTCATTTACTGCGATAGCACCGTCAACGTTATTGGGTTCGGCCGATTTAGCGTCAATGTTTTGCAGAGAGCTCGGTGATTCGAGCTGCTTGTCGTTCAAAGGGAGGGGTGTCGCTCGTGTGGAATGTGTTTTGCGCGCACTGCTTGCTGGCCAAGCCATGGCAACACTCTCGACGCCTGGCACGGCGTGTGCTGTCTCTGCGGACTCCAAATCTTAGCAGACGCAGTGGTTAAAGCCTTCCCATGGCTTTCCGGTACCTCCAGCGATCGGACCCTACGCCTGACGCACAATACATCCGTTTTCACGGGAGCACTTGCGAAAAGCACAGTATATACACTTCGGTTTTAGCTCGTATCGGCGCTAGGTTGAGCCGGTCCACAACCTCGTCGACGTAAATGTACTCGCGTCTCGACATACGACGACTCGTTTCAAGCGCATCACTTGGGTTAAGTCGATGTGGACAACCACGGGTTCTCGCCAGTGATTTGCTTGGCGTGGCACTCAAAGCACTGCGCTACCGTGCGCATGTGCTCGCGCGGCGTCGCTCCCGCCGCAAACACAGTGTCGAGACACAAAACGCAAAAGAGCTCGCCGCACTACAGTAGCATTTCACAAGAATGTCTCGCATGCAGACAACGTGTCGTACCATGGCGCAATGGCGCTTGCAGAGCCCGAAGCGGACGCGGCTCTTGCAGTCAAAGCACGCGGATCGCTGTCCTGGCGGCACGAGTGTCACGGTTGATGCTAAATTGCGCTCGGGCAGCACGCGTTTTGTATCGCGGATGAGCGCTTCGTAGAGGGTCCCGTCCTTCGCAAGCTGCTGCGTGTTGGCAGGAAAGGTGGGCGACGTCACCAGAGTGCGAATCTGGGCCTGAAGTGTTTTGCACGACGCATAACTCTTATCAACGTGCGCGATCGCCGCACACGTCGTGCACGTTTCAATCTCGATGGACGTCGTAGCGTCTGGCCACAGCGCGAGTCCATTCGACGTACACCGTTCGCAGTAGGCCAGACCACACTAGCTCATATACGATGGGCAACAATACGACAAGTTGGACGTACCGTAGCACACCAGTGACGGCGACGCAGGAGCGTAAAGCTCCTAGCACACCCCGCACACGTCGTGTCGCGGGGAGCGCTCGCATCCGGGGGCACGAGGTCCTCTGGACGCGCAAACACTTTGGGGCCGGAGAGCACGAGGTGCGCGGGGAGCGCCATGGACTCGATCTCGGCGATATGAGGTCCTTGAAGTCGTTCATGGCTCTGAAAGCATAGTGAGCAGACCGACACCTTGTCGTCGCGGCCTGTCACTGGAACGAGAAAGGTGCACGCAAGACACATTGCGTCACCACACTACATTGCAGTTGAGATGAGGTTGCGATACAACTCGCTTGTAGACACCGTACGAGGCGGCAGTTGGTGCTGCTCAAGCGTTCTGGCAGCCCGACAGGCTGCCTGCAGACGACGCATGCTTTCGTTGATACAAGTGTGCACACCGACGCGTCGAGAAGGTCCGAGGCAAGCAGCTCATACCGGTAAGGACCCCGTGGTGTTGCCATTGAATGCGTCGTTTCCAAGCAATGTGACCAAGCTGGAAGTGAAAGCTGTATGAGAATGCTTGGCGCCAAAACAGTGTAGTAACGGTACTGCTCTCAGTGTTACCAACGCTCCGAATGGAGTGCGGTGAAATTGAGGCATTAGAATTCAGTCGCGCAGCAAAGACACTGGGCTGCGCATGAGAACCCACCATCGATCGACAGCGCTTGTCGATACCTGCCGAGTCTCTTGAGTACTAGTACTGCAACGTCGTTGCTCTGGGGCTATGTCGGAATGTGTTCAACGAGGCGAGTACAACGAGGACACAGGGGAAGGGTTACTTTCTACGAACACTCCAAACTTCCGAGCAATGAGGGTTGTTTCCGCACGTCGATCAAATTTCTGCGTCGTTCGGTTCAAGATGTGTACCGTGCTAATGTATGGGCTTGTGAATGTAGTACATTCCGAGAATTCAGCGGCTGTGCAGCACGCAACAGCTCATCCAAGTTGTCGTTGAATGATGTCTGCAACGGTGTCGTCGGCTGTAGCAACAGTGACGTGTGCGCTCATCGAACACTTGAGCTCGTCGAGTTGTCGACAGGTACACTACTGAACGTCACTGCAGCAGCACGGAACACTGCGCCTTTGTGGTCGCACTCCATTCCCTATTGTTGGTGCTCTCCATCATGACAACGCCATTTGAGTTGGCGCCAAGCGATCTTTTGGGTCCTGCCGAGTTTACAACTCGAAAGACTCAGTCGGCGTGCGTCGTGTGTTTGTTCCCGTTTGGCTTTCTATCGGGTGACATCAACTGCCTCCTCGTAAGTCTATCTATCTATCTATCTATCTATCTATATAGTGCGGTGCCCTAGCTTGCGAACGGTGCATGCAGCCCATAGCGGTCGCTGGCCAAGGCGACTCGGTCCCTGTTTGTAATACGTGTTTTCACTACCACGAAAAGCTCTTTGGCAAGTTCATTGAGGGGTCAAAGCCGGATCGTGTCGGGCGGAAGTGGCCCACCAACAAATATTTTGCACGGCCAGAGGATCTTGTGCGCCGAGACAAGAACGCGCCCCGAGACAAGTGTACCCTATGTGCCCGATCGTTTTCGGTCTTTCGCCACCGCCACACGTGTGCGACGGTAGACTACCGTACCCGTGCGCAATGCCTTCTATTGTCTATATGCATAGTGTGGGCTCGTGCATTGCTCGCAATGCACCGTGTCGGGGCTTGCCTTGTACCCCGGCGCCGCAACGTCCGTGGCCATTCCGATCTGCGATACGTGCTCGTGCATTTCGATCATTGAGAAGAGCTATGCGAACTGCAAGACGCTTCGCGCCGAGCTGCACACGCTCGTGGCTGCCCCCGATTTTCCTGCCAACACGTTGGGCCTCGACCGCGACGGCGCGTTGTTCCGGGCTCTGAGCATGGCAACGAATGGAACGCTCGCCGAGCACACGTTTGCTGCACCGGACAAAATTGTGCCACTTCGAAAGCGATCGGCGTGCAGTCATTGCGGCAGCCGCGTCTCGTACTACATGCGCAACCACAACTGTGTGTCGGTACGATGGCGCGTGATCGAGAGTGTGCTAACCTTTCGTGGGACAATAGTGCGGCGAGGTCTTTTGCTTTCTGTGCGTGCTGACCAAGGTCGCGGGGACCACGACGCCGCTTGGCCCCTTGCACGCCGTGCCACAGTGCTTTACGTGTCACGCAGGGCAATGCTTTGGCGAGAACCCATGGTTACCACGTACCTCGTACGAAGACCGTATGAAACAGCTCTATACGTCTCTAGGAATCCAATAAAATGGACGTTGTTACTCGTCTTGTTGTGCAATTCTCGCCCACACCCGCGGCGATGGAGAGGTGCTTCAAGTTGAGGCGCGTGGTCTCGTCTAAAAGCCCTCAAATAAGTGAAAATAGGACATATCCTAAATCACTGCCCAGCCCGATACCCAGCCTTGCAGGGTGCCGGGCACGCCATCGCTAGGAGTACACAGACAAGTGCGCTCAGAAAGCAGCACTGATGTCGTACGCAACCATAGGTTCAATACGAAATGCAACACGTATACTATATTTTAGGTCGGCGCCCTCATCGACGGGCATACCCTATACCTCACACAAGACGACCGCATATGGCAGCGATCTAAAAACGACCTGTGCCGCCGCAATGCCCCTCCTTCCTCTCGCGTATCTCTGATCCTAGGCTGACGACTGTGCACGCGACTGCAAAGAGGGGACGCATGCTGGCCTCACGTTGGTCTCAGCGCCGCCAAAGTGTGTAATCGCCACGGCGCAGTAACGTGATGATGGGAGGAACGACCGCATGAAATTGCCGTCCTGTGGGTACGCTGTCTGCATCTGGAGGTATAACACTGCCATAACACTTGCGTCATGCACGCCAAATCCATCACGCTCTGTGCAGGAACATGGTCAAGTGGCACCGACGAAACAGGCGACCGCGAGCCTCGGTGACGCTCAACAGCGCAGCGCATTGGTGCGTTCGGCGTCGTTTCTCGATGTCCTTGGTGTTGAGGGTGGCCGGTCCATTGGAGCTTCATTTGGTCAGTCCGTCCAAATGGGTACGGCTTTGCATTACGCATACGCCGTCCGCTCTGAGTCTCTGGCCTTTATCGTCTGCGTGTTGCCAACGCCATTGGTGCTGTGTGTAGTGGGTGCGGGATATCCTCGGGTGATGTGCTTCAATGTGCAAGAGATGGCCTTTCCTTCCTTCGACTCGGACAAGCAACAAAGCGTAGTACGACGACGATACGATAGGCGTGCTCTATTGGCCATTCTTTATACTCTACATGACTTGCTACTCATCGCAAGACAAACGTTTCGTCGTCGTCTTCGCCGCTGCTACTGTGTTGCTGCTTGGTTTCCTCGGCGTCCGCGTACAGCTTGGCCTCCATTCGGCGTGCGAGCCGATCGAGGCGATCGAGCTCGGCCGTGTGCTGTCCGAGCGTCTGAAACAACACGCACTGCTGCGATGCCAGCGCCTGCTGTGTGTCGGTCGTTCGGCAGAGCAGCGCCATGATCATGGCTTCGAGGTTCGAGCCATCGGACGTTGGCGCCGGCGCCTCGACCACGACATCGGTCGGTGTCGACGTCGTCGGTGATGTCGTCGCGCTCGTCGACGGCTCTATGATCGCGGGGTGGGCTTCTTCGTGCACGGTCTCGGGCACCGTCGGCAGCGGCGAGAGCTTCTTGCCCCAGACTTCCTTTCGGTCGTCAATGTTCTTCATGGCAACCGTCGCGAGCTTCTCGAGCGTCGCAATATCGCTGAACCCGAGCTGGCGCGGCTCGTTGTCAAACACAAAGACCGTCCCGATCGCTTGGCCATTCGAGGTCACGATCGGCGTGCCGGCGTAAAAGCGGACGCCGGCCGGTCCCGTCACGAGCGGGTTCATCACAAATCGTCGATCGCGGAGCGCGTCGAGGACAATCATCGTGTCGTGCGACACGATCGTGTGCGCACAGAACGCCACGTCCCGCGGAATGACATCCTGCGCAAGGCCCACGGACGCTTTGAACCACTGGCGGTCGTGGTCAATGAGCGAGACCGCCGCGATCGGGCACTTGAGCGCGTTCGACGCGAGCTCGCAGATGATGTCAAACACGTCTTCGCGCGGCGTGTCGAGGATCTCGTACGCATGCAGCGCCGCGAGCCGGTCCGACTCGTTTGGGAGCGTCGGTGCTTTGGGCCATTGACAGCCCCAGCTAAAGTCGAGCGGGTACGACCGGTTCATCTCGGGGTTGGAGCCGCGCCGGTACTCGGACGGCGGCCGCATGGCGACCGTACTGGGCTTGCGCGACATCGATGGCGCCTCGGCCGAGCTCGCACGGGACCGGACGATGCGCGAGTTGGTCGTCGCGTTCGCGTTGCCCGCGCCAGAAATGTACCGGCTCGCTGTCTCGGGCTCAAACCGCTTGGTTGTGTTGGTCGAGCACGCTTGGCAGATGGGCGCGACTTGCCACTCGCCTTGGCGCGGCACGTCCGACACAAGAATGTCAAAGAGGCACATGAAACAGAACGCTTCACCACACTACATACGAGGCAATAAGACTACGAAACGAGAAAATCGATCGACGTACGAGGCGGCAGTGGTCCTTGCGCATGATGAAGCGAAATTTGTCATGGCACGCGCGGCAGTTGGATCGGTCTTTGAGCGAGACCCACAAACTCTTCTTCATGAGGCGGTCGTACGGGATCACGTGCGCGGCTTCGAGTCGCAAGACGCGGTGGTCGACTTGGTTCGTATTGGGCGGCGGGTAGTGCGGGTCGTGGAAGAGGCCCATGACCGCTTTTTGGAGCGCGCGGCAGTTGGAAAAATTCCCCTGGACCATGCTAATGTGCACGCAGGTCCAACACACCGTCACGTCAAACGACGACTGGCCGTCCGGTCGCAGCGCGAGCTGGTTGGTCGTGCAGTGACTGCAAAACACTTCGCCACACTACCGTCACGAGTCGCAATGAGCATAAACGTATGAACGAGACGACGACGTACGGTTTGGCACTGGTACTTGTGTCGAAAGAGGGTGAACGATCGCTTGCAGCGGTCGCACTTGGAGCGCTTGCCTTTGGGTACAAACTCCTTGAGGAGATCTTCAGGGTACACAAAGAGCATTTTCGACGGCCATTTGGAGCCACGGCCCGACTTGGCGACGCGTGTCGGCGCTTTCGACGCTTCAATTGGCGCGATCGCGTGGCTGTTGGTCGTGCCGTCACCGTCTTCGGGTGCAGGCAGCAGCGCCGTGCTGCTCCGCAAACTATCGAACGCGGACCGGCTCGCAAACGATGTTTTTCGCTCCGGTGACCACAGCGACGGATTGCTGTCCGAGATGAGCGACGCGTTCCCGATCGAAAAGTGATCTTGGTAGCTGCCTTGGTAGCTGTCGTGGTAGCTGTTGTGGTAGCTGCTTTGGTAGCTGCTGTGGTAGCCGGCGTCGTCGTCGTCGCTCTCTTCTTTGAGGACGCCGCTTGTGGGGCCGAGGCGGTCGTCGGCCTTGTAGCACGGCGCACACACCATGGCAAAGTACCGCTCGGTCGGGTGGGCCGTCACGGGGACGTGGAAGAAGCACTTGCTGCACATGACCTCGCCGCACTAGGATGACGAATAAGAATCGCGCTACACGAAGGACGCGTACGAGGGCGCAGTTGTGCTTGTGCCGCAAGAGGTTAAACTTGCGCATACAGACGTAGCACGTGAGCGTGTCTTTGGTCGGGATGTACTCGGTCGGGTTGAGGAGGTCGCTCTTGAGGAGCGCGGGGCGCCGCCGGTCGTGCTCGTCCATCATCGCTCCCGCACTCGCAATGGAGGACGTCGTCGTGAAGGTTGATAATAGTATGGTGCACCAAAGAAGTGGCCATATTACAGCGCCAACCATCGCCTCACGGGGTGGATGATACCCTACACAGTACGCGCGTTACTTCCCGCCGCCGTCGCCGCCTTTCTTGTTATAACACCGTCTCTAACGCTGTAGTGCAAAGTGGCCACATTGCCCTTGGCGCCACAAGTCCACATCAAGTCCAGTCTAACACGCGAAACACGTTCGCATATCGTTAATCTTTCGAGTCGAGCTTGGCTTCCATGCGCTTGACCGCGTCCGCTAACTTATCTATCTGTGCTGTGTGCTGGCCTAATGTCTGGAACATGGCGCCCTGCTGCGTCGCAAGCTGCTGCTGCGTCTCGGTCGTCCGACAAAGTAAATCCATGAGCATCGTCTCGAGCTTGGGACCGGCCACGACCTGGCCGTCACCAGGCCCGGCGTTTTGAACGACAAGGTCCTGCGTGTTGAGGTTGGGTGTCGATGGTGCGACCTCGGCGAGCGCAGTCGTCGTCGGCGTCGGCGGTGGTCCCTGCGTCGGTGTCGATACGGGCGTTGCGATCGCGTTCTTGCGGTCCTCAATGTTCTTCATCGCGACATTCGAGAGCTTCTCGAGCGTCGTGATGTCGCACGAGTGGCGCGGCTGTGTGTCAAACACAAAGACGGTACCAATGACAAAGCCCGACGGCGACACGATCGGTGACCCAGCGTAGAAGCGAATGTTGGCGCCGCCCGTCACGAGCGGGTTCTTGGCAAACCGCTTGTCGAGGAGCGTATCCAAGACGACCATCGGCTCCTTTGTGCGCACAGTATGCGCGCAGAACGACACGTTGCGCGGAATCTCGGTTTGCGCGAGGCCCACCGACGCCTTGAACCACTGGCGGTCCTTGTCCATGAGCGAGACGACCGCGATCGGGCACTTGAGCGCGTTCGACGCGAGGTCGCAGATGATATCAAACACGTCCTCCTGCGGCGTGTCGAGGATGTCAAAGCTGCGGACAGCTGCGAGACGCTCGGCTTCGTGCGGCAAGATCGGCGGCTTGGGCCACTGGTAGCCCCAGCTAAAGTCGAGCGGATAATCGCACTCGCGGTTGCTACTGTCGGCGCTGGAAAAGTGGCGCTTGTCGTCCGTGGGCGAGTCGAGCCCGCGGTCCATGGTGCTGCCACGGAGCCGGCTCTCGGACCGGATCGAGCCCGGGCGCGAGCGCGTGCTCGACGGCGCGGTCATGGACGACTCGGCGGTCGGGCGCGGCGCGGCTGTGCCGCCGAGCGCGAGGATGCACGACATGCACACCTTGACTTCCTGGAGGCCCTGGCGCTGCGGAATCTCGGCGAGCTTCTTGAGCGTGCAGCTCGAGCAGACGACCTCGCCACACTAGCCATCGTCATGAGCGTCCACGACGTCGTCGTCACCGTACCATGCGGCAGTGGTGCTTGCGGCGAAAGTTGGAGAAATTCCGCGTGCACACGTGGCAGCGGAAGCGCTCCGTGTCGGGGATCCACTCGTCTTGGCTCACGAGCTGGTCGATCGTGATGACATCATGCGTCTGCTGCCGGCTGTTGCGGGCCATCGTCGTCGCCTCCGCGTCCAGATCAAAAGTCCCGACTGCCAAATAATATTATTATTTTATAGGCTCCGAAACCGATTTCCCTGTATTTTATTACCTTGCGGTTTGTATACGCAAAGCAACTGCGACATGCGTGCAGTAATGCGCCTGAGGATTGGCTGAAAACAGCTACCGAATGCACCAATCACGTGGCGCCGACCGCCGGCAGGGACATGCTTTGAGCCCCGACAGTACACGGCGCCGATTGATTCAAACTGCGCCATTTTGCGAGTCGGCCCACGGCCGTTCTAGGCTCGGGATCGTTTGTCTCTAGCGACTTGAACCGAATGGCAAGGTACGCCTTGTACAGTGTACGCCTTGTACAGTGTACGCCGATACAGTGGACTGACGCCGCGCCGTCGCAGATGTATCCGGCGCTCCGAGGCTTGAGAACGCGAATGTGTGGCCGCGCGTTGTGTTTGCGCGGCTTATTCCACCAGGATGTTTGACTCGCATGCACTAATATCGTTGGACCGGTTTTGACCGCTGCGGAATAAGAAGGCTCGGCGGATGGGTGCATAAATATATACGCTGCACGGAGAGCGATAGGGGCTGCTCTGTATCCTACGTTGCAGATGCCCGTCAGCATCGCACGTGGGAAAGGCCGGCAGGTCACGCTTGGTGTCCACCGTGGAGCGGTGCCAGAGCCAAGCGCCTTGGGCGCCAACGAAAAGTATCTTTGTTGATGGGGTTAGAGCCGGATATTAACCCTGTATCCGGCACATGTCGCCACGACAAGCATCAAGAGGTTTCCCACACGTCACCGGGACACGACCAGTACATCTGCGTCGAGCGACTATTAATAATAGAGACTAGAGAGCATAGTCGGTGTTTGGGGTTGTTGCAAGGTCATTTCTGTACTGGTTTTTGTAGGGACGCTGCAATCAACTTATTTTGGCACTCGACACCGTCCAAGTTTTCATGTCTGATTGGCCAAAAAGCAGTACAGTAGAGCCAATCGTAATGCGCCGAGCTTGCCCACGCGTAAGTACGTTTGTCATAGCACGTGTACGTGTTAAGTACGGTTACGGATTGCGGTTTACAACCACGCACAGCGGTTTGCCAGGATTCGCGTCCTCTGGTGTCGATGGCGATCCAGCAGTCTTCCATTTCCATGTTGCTGCACTTGCTCACGCTGCTCGTGGCCGCGGCCGCTACGCTGCACCCGCGCCATGGCAAGACGGCCGACTACACGCTGCCGCCAGTGTTCACGCCAGCCTACGTCAAGGACGTAGGTCTCAACGTCGCTTGCCACAATGCCAGCGCCGGCTACGAGGCGACGCTGCGCCCCGGCAACTACACATCCAACGGGTTCTTTGACTGCTTTCGGACGCGCGGCCAGATCGACGCCTTCTTGACCACGCTCGAGGCGCAGAACCGGCGGCTACTGACGTCCCTGCCGCTGGCAACATCGATCCGCGGCGTGCCCATCGTCGCGTACAAGCTCTCGATACGTCGCAACTTTACGGCGCCGGCCATCTACGTGCAGAGCATGATGCACGCGCGCGAGTGGGTCGCGGGCTCGTCCAACCTCTATGCTCTGGCGTCGTTCCTTGACGAGCTGGCTGCCAACCGCACGCCGCCTGCACTCGCCAAGTACGACATGTACTTTGTGCCCATTGTCAACGTCGATGGCTACGACAAGACGTGGTCGGGCGACGACTATGGCGAGTCCCGCTACACGCGCAAGGACGCCCACCAAGTCGACTTAAACCGCAACTTTCCCACGCTCGCCTTCAACCACGACCACGAAAGCGTCGACTCGGAGGCGTACCCGGGCACGTCGCCGCTGAGCGAGCCCGAGTCCAAGGGCATCGCAGACTTTATCAGCGCCACTCCGATGGACGGGTTCTTTGACATCCACTCGTACTCGGCGCTCGTGCTCTATCCGTTTGGCGATACGACGGCGCCGCCCCGTGGCAACCGCTTCAAAGTGCTCTCGCAGAGTGTGGCCGACGCCCTCAACAACGCCACGGGGATCACGTCGTACAAAGGGGCTCCGGCCTACGAGCTCTACCCTTGCTATGGTACGTTCATCGACTATGCGTACCGGAAGTACGACAAGGCTGCGGTCACGATTGAGATTGCCGGCAGCGACTTTGTAGAGAAAGTCGACCGCATTCGCCTGCACGGCGCAGCGATCTACGCCGCCCAGAACGCGTTTGCCAACGGCCTCGAGGCGTTTAACAACGCACACGTATAAGCTAAAGTAGTTTATCACTGTCGTTGGGTTTCTCGAACGCATGCAACAAGGTGCATATGGCCCTTGGCCCACTACTGCATGACCCTACAGCAAAGGGTCTGTACAGAGAGAGCTCGTGGAGGGCTGCTAAGCCGATCTTGCGCATCTTACCGTCCAAAACCGTATTTATCGACCGCTTGTGCTGCCACGTCATATCGAGTCCAGTGACAGCAGGCATTTTTGATGTCACTGGAAGAATTTGGGACAAACCATGTTTCACCCATGGATTCCGGATACGCGTGGGCATCCGCATACGGTGCGATTGTTCGACGGGCCGGCAACGATGGCCGACAGCAAGGAAGACGAGAAGCGCATGCATGAGGTAGGTCCTGCTGCCTGGCATGGACGATGGCGCTAAGCGTGGCAAACGTAGACCTTTGACATGCTGCCCAAGCTTATTGAGATCCTCAAGGACATCCTGGCGGCGGGGACGAGCCAAGAGGTGACGCGCGTCGGCGACGTCTCGAGCACGGTACGTCCGGTTGTGTGTCGTCGCCATCGCCTCACGACCTTGGCTAGTCGCTCATGCTCAAGGCAAAGTACGAGGAGGCTGCACGCGTGCTGGCGTCGCTTCCAGGCGTCGATATGAGCTTGGAAGCTCAGCAAGACGAGATCAAGAAGGCCAAAGAGCTCTTGCGCCAAAAGAGGCATGTATCTTCAGAAGCCCAGGGCTGGCATCATCTCATGCATGGCATAGCGCGCTCATGGAGCTGTACAGCGAGACGCTTTTCCGCGGGACGGACGAGCCGCGTGCGCAGCTCAACGATGTCTTTTCACGTCAGAATTTATAAACACGGCAAGTATGTCAACTCCGCTCTCGTTTCGCCTCGACTGGCCAAGTGCCTTGACAGCCTGTCGACACCAACTAGCGAACTAGGGTCGAGTACATGGGCTAGACCTGTACATACATGTCAGGAGGGGCTGCTGCACCCGGTCTCGCCACCGCGCAAAACGTTTCCGCGGGGCTTGAAGCGGCGCCGCCCAACCAAATTGCCGAATGCATCAGTGTTCTTCCCACTGTGGACCTGGCAGTACGTCTCGAGGCGGTGCCAACGACTGCTGTCGCTACCCTTGACAGTTAGTCGCCGAAAAGCACAGCGATGTTACTTGGTATGTTAAAACTACTTATGGTACATTTGGTCGAAGGACGGGAGCTTGCAGGAGGCGTCGCTGACTACGCATCGGGGTCGATTTGCCCGAGGGCATCGGCGATGCGAAGGAGGCTAAACGTCTCGGCGCTCTCGAGCCCGTCCATGGACGAGCTGCGGGCGGTCGACTGAAAGCTGTGGCTCGACCTACCGGCGAGCGCAGCGAGGCGTGCGTCATCGAGCGGCGTCTCGGCGTCGCGCTCGAGGCACTTGGCGCACATCCGGATCTTCATGGGCCCACGCGCAAGCGCAACAATGTGAATCGATGAGCAGGCGGCGCACACGACTTCGCCGCACGTCCGGCAGTGGTGCCGGCGGCGAAACGTAGTAAACTCTGCATCGCACTGCAAGCAGCTCGGACGGTCGTCGTCCTTGATCCACTGCGACTCGGCGACGAGCGACTTGACTTTGGAGGCTTGTAGCGTCAAAATCGCTGGCTGCAGCTGCGAGAGCATGTTCCAGACGACACGGGCGCCCGCGGGCATAAGGCGCTTGTCGCTCGACTGGCATCGGCACGAAACGCGCAGCGAATGCGGCGCAACTTCTTCGACGACGAGACCGAGCTCCCACGACATGCGCTTGTACTTGTTGACGTGGTAGAGCAGATTCGGCGTCGGGTGGTGCATCGGCTGCAGCGTCCAGACCAGAGTGCGGGCGGCCGCATTCGGCGGGCCCACAATGTGCGCATACGACCGCATGCAAAACCCCTTGTCCTTGGCGAGCACGGTCGAGGACTTGAGCGCAAACCAGTTGACAGTCGAGAACACCGACGCGTCTACAGAGCAATCGTAAGCATTTGGGCAAGGAACCGAGCGCGTACCGATCGGGGACGACGAGAGGATTGCACCATCGACAAAGTCGTTGCCGTGCAAGAGCTTCATGGTCGCTCGGAAATCCGACGTCTGGCGCACGCAGAGAAGGCTCTGAATGTCGTGGAGCGAGCAGCCCTCGAGGGTCGTGACGCCGTGGTACGTAAACACGGGCGGTGCGAGCGCCAAGGTCGAGGACGACCCGAGCGACGAGCAGTTGGAGGTCGCCGATACCATGGACGAGTCGCTCTCGGTGCCATCAACCCGTTGTCGCTTGACACGCTTCTTCTGAAAGAGCTGCAACGCGCCCTTTTCCTTGATCTTTTTCCACTCGTCGGCCGCCCGCGCGCGCGTGCACTCGTCGAGGTAGTAGTGCAGAATCCCGCGCACTTCGCGCGCAGCATCCGTGTTTGCGCTCGCGCTCGAGGCCGCCGACGACGTCGTGGGGGTGTGTTGGTGGCGCGGCAGCATCTTTTGCAATCGAGACGACGGTCCTCTACGTCAAGCAGCCCATCTGGTGTCTTGGCGCGCTTCTCTTCGCTTGTGTAGTGTATAAAACAGGGACAACTCTCAGGGACGCATACAAAAACGCAGTGTCGGTAGTCGAATGATGGTCTTTGCAAATGGCAATCTAATATTTGAAAAAGTGCAATGTCGCGCGCCTGGATCTCCTCAGAATAGCGCCACAAGTCGCTATACCGCACGACTGTCGCGTAGGTCCAAGGCAACAAAGACACGCCACAATGGTCTCGATCTCGAGAGAGGCCTCGCTATTGTGTATGCATGGATGCTCCGTCGCGTACACTGTACGACGCGCGACGCTGTATTCCCGACCTACGCAAATTCGGCGCATTTTTTTGTCACCCACCAATGGCGCCAGCGAATCTGGCGCCGCATCCGACCGCGTGAACGGTGACGTAGAGCTGTGACGTAGACGTTGAATAGAAGCGCTGCGCAGTGGTCGGTACACTCGTCTCGCACCTCGTGTCAGCTGGCGCGCGACTCCGCCACGCGTTCGACAGCAGTTCGAGCAGCAGCAGCTGCAGCAGCCGCCCGCGTCGTGACAATTTTTCATTTCGGACGCTACGTGTCTGGTTCTAACGTTACTCGACGTCGGCGTCCGCCGAGGCAGCTGCGTTCTTGGTCTTGGCGCCGGCGAGACTCTCGAGCGACGCGATGCCGTCTTCGATGCCCATCTCGGCGCACTGCGAGGCAAACTGCACCTTGTCGTCGCGCGGGAGTCCCACAAGCTGCAGCAACGACGTGTCCCATTGGTCTGCCGTCACGGCACTCTGCAGTCGATTGAAAAACTGAACGATGTGCATCAACTGCGTCGTGCTGAGGTGGTTGGTGAGGTCCTGAGCCTTTTTTCCGAGCCGCGGGTGGCCGTGCATATGATCGGCCCAAAACAGTGCGTCGTGGAGCTGGCGCACCTCGTTGGCGTCGAGGGCGGCCGCATCAAAGCTGCCGCGACGGTCGCCCGCGCCGCGATCGGTCTTGCGCAAGAGCGCAATGAGTTTGGTCTTGGCGTCAAGGACCTGGTCGAGCATCTCGGCCTTTGCCGTCGCCTCCATCGTGTCGAGGGCCGCCAACGACCGCGGCTTGGTATTCGTCGTGCAGTTGGACACGACGTTCCAGTACGTGTCGTGACCTGTCACGTGGTCGCGGGACGGTAGCCACGCGTACTCTTCAATGTCTTTATAGTGAGTGCGGTGGTGCAAAAGCTTGATTGCAAAGCTCTGCGCCTCGACCTTGGCGAGGACTTTAGTCTGCACTTTGTGAGACGCCGCGGCCAGCGATTGTGTCAGTCGCCCGAGGGGGCCGCCACTCTCGCGGTCGATCGGGCGAAGGTCCCGGAGCGGAAGAAGCACCGACTTGTGTGCATCCGCGATAAAGACGAGTACGTTCCCAGACGCGGCAAGCGTGTTGGTCGAGACCTAGCCATGAGCGCCGCATAGAACGCGAGATGCCATAGTGGACGTACGACAGTGGCAGCGCACGCCTTGAACTCGCCACGCGTGACGAGCACCGGTGCGTCGTACGTGCACCATGGCGGGGGGCCTAGTAACCGTGATGATCGTCATATTGTACAACAGTGCCCATAATCGAGTACCGTTGCTATAGTCGTACGTAGAGAGCCCCAGTGCGTCCTTGATGGCGGCTTTGCGTGCGGCAACCGCGGCGGCTTCGGCGTCCGTATCCGACGCCAGCACCTGCGCGACGCCAATGGCTTTCTTCAGCTTGTACGCGAGGCCGCTTCGGACCACGTCGTCCTTGACCCGCTGCTGGACGATCCAGTTGGTCCGGCGAATCTACAGGGTTCAGTTTGAGGCAATGGCGGATCGAGAAGCGTCGACCAGCTTCATGTACGACTTGCCCTCGACGCGCCCCTTCATCGCTACACCCCATGTGACATACGAGTACGCGATATTCCACCAAAGGTACCGCGAAACGCTGCTTGGATCATGCGCGCCGCCACGTCTTGCTTAGCGAACTCGAGCTCGCTGAGCTGCGCCGACACGACACTGTTGACGACGCTCGCCTGCGCACGCCGCGCCGCGTCGTTTGCCCGCGCGTCCAGAATCGCCTTGGCTGCTGTTGGCAGGTACGCGACGCGTTCGATTCCGTGGTGCTGCCGCTGGCCCTTGCGATGAAAGCTCGAGTAGCATTTTTTGCAAAAATAGTCGGTGCAGACAGTACACCGCCACGCGCCAACCTTGGCTTGGCACTCGACGCAGAGCGCGACAAGCGGTGTGAACGTATGCGGCCGCGTGCGGTGGTAGTGGGGGTAGCACGCGTCGCAGTACGGCGCATGGCCGTCGATGCACTACGTGCATAGTTGTGAGACAGAAGGTCCCTACCCCTACACGTCCTACTTGGTTGCACTGGCGCGTCGCGGTCTGCGTCGTGCAGAGACGGCAGAGCGCGATCGGGAGAGTCGCATGCGAAGCAAATGCAGCGCGCTTGTGGTCGCGGGCAAAGCAGTCGGCGCAGACCGCATCGTCGCACTCCTACATGTCTTGCGTTGCCCCGCACACTCGAGAAGCAAGGACGTACGAGACAGTAGATGGTCGCTTTCTCGCTGGGCGTCGACTCGTGCTTCATACCTACCGAGCGCATCAAACCCGCTCATCCATGCACCAAACGCGCAGCGTACAATAGACAATGTACTCTTCGTCGGGCGGCGGCAGCTGGATCGAGACGTTGGGGGCCATGTCCCGCAGCAGCGCAGGCCGCGAGTACGTTGTCACGCCCGTGACGAGGTTCTTGTACGACTTGGCGCCCGACTTCCAATTCACGTACTCGACGTACGTTTCCCGGACGAGCGCGTCGAACTGGAGCCGGGCACGGCGGCTGCGCCACCAGTTTTGTACCAGTAACGCAGTGGTGCCCTGCGCCTTGCGGACTTGGGCGTCGCGGAAGCGGACCTACACCCCATCACTACTATGTGCATCGTAGCGTGTTGCGTACGAGGAACACGGCGCGGCGGGCGCGCTGGAGCCCGTGTCGGAACGTGGTTTGGATGACGTGGGCCGCCCAGTGCGCGCGGTCGGAGGCCAATGCCGCGAGTTGCAGTCGGAACGGCTCGCCCAGCTTGGACGGGAGCACGTACTTTTGCAGAAAGAGCAGATACCGCGTTGAGGGTTGCAACGTGGGCTCTGGCAACCGCGCCGACAGGAGATGGTTCATCGCCGTGTGGAACGCTGAAAATGGAATCGAGCGCGCCTTGCCGACTTTGACGTTGGCGAACGCGACGTCGACCGCGTGGAGTGGCAAGTGCACCTTGTGCAGCGCGCCCGGCGTGTCCTTGAAGAATTTGGAAAACCGCATGTTGTCTACCTGATGTTTCGATGGGACTAGACCAAAGGGTTGCATACCGATTTCTGTCGCGTCGGGCGTGTTGCCGTAGCGACACAGCGCCAAGAAGAAGCTCTGCCACACACCGTAGCACCCATTGGTGACCCACGTCTTGCCGTCGACGCGGGACTGCAGCGGCCGCTGGACGCTCGCATTTGGGGCCACCTTGGTCGACGCCACGTACGGAAACTGGTAGCTCCAGAGCAGCAATGTGTCTTGGACGAAGCGCAGTGTCGACGGTAGCCGCACCGCGCCAATGGCATGCAGTTCGAGTCGCCGCTGCCGCATTTGCACCAAGCGCAGGAACACACGCTGCTGCAAAAACATGCGAGCGACGGCCTGTATCCGCACGGCCGCACGCCGCTTGCGCCGAAAGCCGACGAGGCTTTTCCTAGCATAAGTGATGAGAGACTGCAATTTGTCCAGTTGACAACTTTTGTAGCCAATGGCGCTTGATGAGGCCCACGGCATGGACGTAGCGCTGTAGGTCGAGAATCGCCTGGCGCGCCTTGCGACTGCGAAAGAGCACTTGGATCCGGCGTGCGTACGCGTGCACCTTGAGGCGCCAGTAGCGCAGTCGGCCGAGCATGCCGCGCACAAGGCGCTGGATCGCGGTTGCGGCCACGTGCTGTTGCCGCCGGTGACGCCGGCGCGTCGCTTCATCCGACCGCTTGCGCAGTCGCCGGACGCGGCGCCGGGTCGTGGCACCACGCAACGCAGCCTGGAGCGTTGTGGCCGCCTTGTGCTTTTGCTCGAGCGACGGTTCACGCCAGGCTTTGGTGACCGTGTCGGTGACTTGCAGCAGTAGTTTGTTGACGCCTTTGGCTTGCGACCGCTGCCGAGTGAGCTGGCGCTGGTCTTTTCGAAACGTTTTTTTAGCGAGCTTGCGCGCCTTGATGGCCTTGGCGCGCGCCTTCTGGAGCTGTTTCAACTGGCACTGGGATCGATACCGGCGGTACGCACGCTGAATGATGCTGGCCGCGGGGCCCATGCGAAGCGCATACCGTCGACGCAGTCGATATGCAGCCATCATGCGCCACCATGCTTGGAGTTGGATCACTTTGAGGACGCTCTTGGCGTGGCGTCGACGCATGGCCGCAAACTTGGCCTTGCGTGCAACCCGGCGCTTGCGCACAGTCCGCTGCACGAGCAACACGGCGCCGATCAAGCGCACGTCGTACGCTTTGGTCGCCGCCACCGCCGCCGCGTACTGCGCACGCAGTGCCACTGCCTCTAGCTTTCGCAGCAGTGTCCGGAGCCGTCGGGCGAGCCAGCCCCGCACATATGCCTGCAGCGTGATCGATGCCGCCGTCTCTTTTTGGCGCCGCACCAGCTGTAGAAAGCGCGCCCAGAGCGCCGTGCGCTGGCGGTAAAACCGCTGCAGGCGGATGGCCGCCGAAATGCGGGCTGCCGCTCGCGCGCGGGCACACGCAAGAGCATAGCTGCGAACCGCGCGCGTGAGCACGCGCGCGGCGGCGTCCTTCTTTGTGAGCAGCCGCGCAAGGAGACGCGCCTCGCGTTCTCGCTGCTGCTCGACCAAGTGGCGTCGCAGGCGGCGCTCGTGGCGGGCGACAGCTTGGCGCCACGCGCATTGGACAACAAGGGCCGCCGCGCTGTAAGCGATGACGCGGCATGCAAGCGTGCTTGTGCGCCAAGATGCAAAGCCGTAGACAAGGGCGTTGTAGCGCATGCGGACCAGCGCTGCATGGACGCGGTCCATCGCCTGGTGGATATGCTTGGACGCGTATGGGCCTTTTCCAAACCCATACAAGACATCCAGGGGCAGCCAGCGCTGGACGCTGTCGAGCGCCGAGTGGAGCGACGTGGTGGCCGCGGTCACGCGGCCCTCTTGCATCTTTGCGTCGGCTAGGTGCGATGCGTGCTGCTGGTGCACGTAGGTCAAATGCTGTTTCTCTAGTTCGCGGTGCCACGCCAGCCACGTGGCCAGAACGCTGTCCGAGACGTCGCAATCATTGTGTTGCATTTGCTTGGCGTCGTTGGCTTCCGTGTCGTGTGACAGAGACCGCGTCGATGGTGTCATCAGTAGCGTGGACCGGCGCGCGGTAGTCTCACGCCGGGAGCGCAAAAGCACGTTGACGTCTTCGAGCGCCATGCGACTCCGCTCGACAGCGTCGATCGCGAGTGCCGGCGCACTGCGTTGCCGGCGTCGACCGAGCAAGACTGGCTTGGTGGGACTCGTGCCCCGCTGCAGATTGCCATACACGTTGTGGCGGTGGTGGAGCCGGCCCAAGGACGTGACGTGGCGCGCGTGAATGGCCTCGTCCGCAAACGCTTCGAGCTGGTTGACGGCTGCGAGGTCGGCCTCGCGAGGCTTGGGCAAGCGCGCGACCCACTGCCGCGTTCGCGGCGTCAGCACGTGCAACATGGGCAGCGAGAGCGCCTCTTGCAGTGGGGCGACGACGGGCGTGCTGCTGCACCGCCGCGCGCCGCGCAGACTGCCATGGCGCGTCGGCGACGTTTCAAGCGCCGCCGGTTGGAGCAACTCGGCGACCATGGCGGGCTGGTGCAAGTAGGCGTCGAGCGATGGACGCGGTGCGGGCACGTCGCGCGGCCGCTTCTTGGACCGCTTTGGTGCGTCCAGGCGCGCATGGGAGCGCTGCAGCACGTGACGCCACTGCGTCGGGTTGTACGCCTCGCACTTTTCAAGGTCGAGCGCGAGCTTGATGTACGCGCCAAGGCTGGCGTCGTCGCCGCGCTCTGCCATCGGGTATATGTGAAACCGCGATGCGCCGTTTCGCTCCGTGATTCCAGCCTGTCGTCAGCGACTTGTAAGACAGATTGTCCAGTCTCCACATCGTCGCCAAGGCCCGCAAGCTCCTGGAGCATACAACTATGATGACGATGAATTGAGCTACAGGCTCCCGACAGGTTTCAATTGACAAAGTTTCAAAGGCAAAATAGTAGAAAAGAAAGATAGTTGATGTTAGCGTAGCCGAAAAAGCAGACTAGATATAAAACGTATACAAAGGGTCCAGGTCGTGCCTCATACTGACGTGCAAATCATGGGGTATCCAGCATTGCATTCGGATGAGCGAGTTTTGATCATTGGCACGACCGTTGGACAGGGAGAGACGAAACGCGGCGGCGGCGTGGTGTACCAAAGCGTCATGTATTCACAAGAGGTTAGCAAACCATGACGTGCGCCAAAGGCTGAGGCCGCTTGTAGCCATTTACAAGGGGATGAAGCGGTTCTGGTGCATGGCGTTGATACCGGGGCGACCGTGGGCGACGGGCTTGTACGTGATCGAGAGTTCACCAAGGTAGTGACCGACCATCTCGGGCTAGACATACAGAATGAGCGCCTGCCCGGGTGTCGGGATATATCAGAAAAGCTCTCTTGGGTCGCCCCGTACACAGAACGGTCACAAAGGGAGGAGAGTCGAGGCGCGTGACGTAGCCACGGCCTGCTCTTCGGGTACAAAGGCCCTCCTCCCCCGAGAGCTGTGATATATGTTCTGGAACACACCTTGATTTCGACACCGTTGAACGACTTGCCGTTGTAGATACCGATGACCGAGCCGATCATCTCGGGGACGACGATCATGTTACGGAGGTGCGTCTTGATACCACGCGGGCGCTCAAGGGGCTTGGCCTCCTGCTTGGCCTTGCGCAGGCGCTTGATGAGCGCCATCGGCTTGCGCTTAAGACCACGCGAGAAGCGGCGGCGGGCGCGCGCGTTCACGAGGTCCATGAGCTCTTCGTGGTTGAGGTCGAGGAGCTTGTCAAGGTCCACGCCACGGTACGTGAACTTCTTGAAGGCGCGCTTCTTGCGGGCCGCAGCGATTTCGATCAGATCATGTTCGTCAGCCTACGCACCATGAGCCTTGGCTCTAAGACGCCGCTAAGACGCTACCATGGTGTTCGTTTGGTACACTTTGGAAAGTGAAAACTCACGCGAGTTTGCCGTCGCCGTTGATTGGCCGAAACGACTGGCTATGGGCCCCTCCTGTCTCAAGCACCATACATTTCCTAAGTCCGCCTCGCTCGTCTAAGTGCGCTTTAAATCCAACGATTTAATTCTACATACAAACCACAACATATACAATACGAAACAGGGCCAAGTGCAATTTGGTTGGAGTTGGTGCACTGGTCGGGCGACTAACTAACAAGCGCAAATCATTAACAAAAAAGGCGTGTGTCTCCCCAAGGTTAAACGACTACGTCAAGATGGGCATCTCTATGGAACGCAAGGGCGAATACTTTGTCAAGCTCGAGGGCTTGCTCGGTGACTACACCAAGATCTTCCTCGTGACGGTCGACAACGTCGGCTCGAACCAGATCCAGCAGATCCGTATCGCGCTCCGCGGCACGGGCGAGGTGCTCATGGGCAAGAACACGATGATCCGCAAGGTCTTCGCCAACTTCCTCAAGAAGAACCCGGGCCACCCGCTTGAGCAGCTCATCCCGCTCCTCCGCGGCAACGTCGGCTTTGTCTTCACCAACTCGGACCTCGGCGAGGTGCGCAAGGTGCTTGACGACAACAAGGTCCCGGCCCCGGCCCGTATCGGTGCCATCGCCCCCGTCGATGTGTGGTGCCCGGCTGGTCCCACCGGCTGCGACCCCGGCCAGACCTCGTTCTTCCAGGCCCTCCAGATCGGTACCAAGATCCAGAAGGGTCAGATTGAAATCGTCTCGGACGTGCTCCTCACCAAGAAGGGCGAGAAGGTCGGCAACTCGGAGGCTGCGCTCCTCCAGAAGCTCAACATCCGCCCGTTCTCGTACGGTATGTCGATCGTGACGGTCTACGACAACGGCTCGATGTTCGACCCCGCTGTCCTCGACCTTACGGAGGACGACCTCGTCAACAAGTTTGTCGCTGGTCTCCGCAACGTCGCCGCCGTCTCGCTCGCGCTTGGCTTCCCCACGCTCGCGTCGATCCCGCACTCGATCGCCAACGCCTTCAAGACGCTCGTCGCTGTCGCCGTCGAGTGCGAGTCGTTCTCGTTCAAGAAGGCCGACCCGTTCAAGGCCTTCCTTGCCGACCCGTCGGCCTTTGCCGCTGCCGCCCCGGCTGCCGGCGGTGCCGCCCCGGCCGCCGCTGCCGTCGAGGAGAAGAAGGCTGAGTCGGAGGAGGACGTCACGGCCGCTGGCATGTTCGGCGGTGGCTCGGACTACTAAGCGACTAGTCGTTTCCATCTCACCTTGGGTTTCGAGAAGCAATAAGATCTACCTAAGACTGCGTTGCCTCTCATCATAAGCATTTTTGTCGCCTTCTGCAAATGCTGCAAGAAGACCGTGCAAGCGGACGGGGGGCGGTGGGTTGGATTTGGCCGGTGATCGACTCAGTGACCCGAAGAGGAGACAGGAGTCGTGCAGCCACTCGTCAACTCGAGTACACAGCAACCCCGTAAGGTTTGCTGGTGCATACGGTACGTCTTGAGCCCCTTGGTCGTCTTGGGTCGGTACCAGGTCGGAAGTATGTGTTGTCGAGGATCTAGTGCATGCATCATCGAGTGACCTCGTCGTCATCGCAGATGTTTGGGCTCCAACAAATACTAGAAGCCGACTGATTGAGCCGAGGCGGGCAGTCGTTGCAGAGGTATTCAAGCATCGATCAACAGTGTGTGGGCCCTTGTCTGAGACCAGTGACCAGTCTTCTACTCTCCCGACCCGATGAGCAAAGCAAGTCCAAGACGCAGTGACGTACATGTATTGTACTAGTACTTGGTTTGACACTCGTGGCGAAACGGCAGCAGGGTTTTTTCAGAAAGGCCGCCCGTATGAGCCTCAAGGACGCGGCCGAGCGCGTGAGTGCGATCGAACAAGCCTTCCACGACGACGCGAGTGCGTTGAGCGCGTCCAACTCGGACGCTGCGATGCGCTTGACGGTGCTTACGGCTGTGGGTCGCCACGGCGACGCGTTCACGGAAGCGGCGCAAGGAGGCCGCGCCGCCGAGGTCGAGCGGTACCTCGAGCAAGGCCTCGATGTCAACACCAAGCACTCGGTAGCCGCGATGCATTCGTGTCATTTTCATGCTGCTGCGACTAGGAGCTCGGGTGGACCGCGCTGCACATGGCGGCCGCCAACGGCCACGAAGACATTGTGCGGCTTCTGCTGCGACACGGCGCCGACCAATCCAAGATATCGTCGGTACTGTGGTCCTTGCATCGCGCACGCGTCGAGGCTATTCGATGCAAATAGAAGAAGGAGAAGACACCGCTCGAGCTCGCGGTGCAGCGCGGCCATAGCTCGATCGCCAACCTCCTTCGCAGTACTACGTCGAATGCTCGAGGTTGTGCCACTGTGATATTCACTTCGTAGAGGGTTCGTGGGGCAGCAGCTCGGCGTCGCACGAAGAGTTTGTCGAAGCCGGCCGGCGCGGCCTCACAGACGTGCTCCGGCGCCTCCTTGGGGACGGTGTCCAGGTTCACGTGACCAACGTACAATATTGTCAACCGCACTTTCGAAAAAATGGACGTATTAGCGCTACGGTGTCTCGGCGCTCATGTTTGCTGCCGACCAAGGGCACGTTGAGGCGACGCGTCTCCTGCTGCACCACGGCGCCGACCCGAAGAGCCTCACGGTACACCTGCGCCGTCCGACGCGGCTCACGTTGGCGGTGACTAGAAGTTTGGGCAGCCGCTCTTTCTGTCGGTGATTGACCACGGGCATACCAAGATCGCCCAGCTCTTTCTCGACTACGGCGCGCCCGTCCAGATGGCGACCGTGCGCATGGACAGATCGCAAGCGGCGTTAAGATAGTATGCGTGGGATAGGACGACCTCGTGACGGGACTGCACATTGCGGCCGAGCGCGGGCACGCCGACTTGTGCCAGCTCCTTTTGCGCTACAACGCCGACAAGAGCGCGCGCACGGCGAGCGGCGACACGCCGTACCGCGTCGCGTACCGGAACGAGATGCTTGCGACTCAAACGACGAGCGGCGAGACGTTGGAAGTCTTACTGTCCTAAGCGCCAAGTCCCATTTTCATGTCGAGGAAACCTCCAACTTTTCGCCTTGTCAGAGACTTAAGACACCTTGTCGTCGTCGCGGAATGTCGACGGCGCCTCGACGACATTTGTTTCGCTCTATTATTATATCTTCCGGCGAGTGCTGCTAGCTGAAATCAAAGTCGCGCGCCCCACCACCACACCTCGGGGGGCGTTCTTGCTGGGCGTGTTGCCGCGGGGCGTGTTGCTTGACGCTACCAACGTCGAAGTTGACAGTTTCCACGAACCTCCAACGCGCTGATAAGCTTCGATGGGACCACCAACGCCGATTCTCCGCTTCTCGGCCGACGCGACCCTCTTTTATTGTTGGGTCGACATGCAAGCCACGACGTCTCCGGTGGCATTCTGCCGCAGCGGGTTCGTTGCCTGTCTGGATCCAACGAGCACCAACAATAGCTCTTTCGCGTGTTGCTGCAGTACGACTGCCGCCTGTTTGAATCCCGGGTCGTCCAACTGCCACTGCGGCGGCGACCCAGCGCAGACGAGCGAGAGCTTTCTGCGCTTCTTGACGCCACTCGCCGTCGCGATTGGGGTCTTCCTCTTGCACGTCATTTGGCAACGGGTCGTCCGGCGGCTGCCTGCGTACCAGCGCGCGCATCGCCAATGGCACGAGAAGGAGCAGATCATCAACGCCGCTATCGTTATGCCCATGTTTGTGCCCGTGGACGAGCCGGTGGGGCTGCCCCAGCTGCTCGCCGCGCTGGACGCTTGCCGGATCCACGAAGCGGTTGTCTCGACCGACGCGATCGAGGTGACGCTGCCTCGATGTTTCACGGCGCCCTCGCTACCAACATCGTCCAGTCCCCCATGACATGCAGAATAGTACAAATGTATGAGTTAGTATATCGTATGTTCAGTATTCTTTATCTATCTAGACGCGGGAGGGTGGCGGAGCTTACTCCCACGGGTACGAAGCCGGCGCGGCCGGTGCGTCGTTCGGTGGCAACGCCGCGGCTGGTGTCGCATCAGGTTGCAGCGCGGCCATCGTCGAGGCTGCATGCAGCTGCATGTCATGCACGAGCTTGTCTTCCATGACCATCGACACGTGCCCGAGGCTCTCGAGGAGCGACGGTGCCTTCTCGGCTGCAAAGGCCCGGAGATCTTCGAGTAGTTCGTACGCCGACGCCATAGTGAGCTTGGACCTTGGTGGCGGTGGTGGCTTCTTTTGCTCGAGCAGACTCCACTCTTCGGTAAACATGAGTTGCGTCGGCAAGTGGTCGTCGACTGCGATGAACTCGAGAGGGCCGAGCACGAGCGACGGCTCGACGATCGGGACGATCACGGCATAGTACAAGGCGAGAAGCGCCGCGAGGTCGTCCGAGGGGCCGATTGGGTGCCGCGCAAAGCTGGCGACGCACGTCGACGGCGCGACGCTTGCCCAGGCGTCGGCGACCCATGTAAGGACGCGGGGTCCATCGACGGACGCGGCGACTTGAAGCTTGCGCTGGGCGAGCACGTGTCGAAGCAGTCGCACGCGGTACGTGTCCTTGAACGTTTGGAGGATGCCATGCAAGAGCGGGCAGCCGCCTTGCGGGCCAAAGGTAGCCGACGGACACACGCGCACCGTGACGTGCGCGAGGTCGACGTCCGACGAATGGCACGGCGTGCTGGGCAGGAGCAGCAGAATCTTGCGGTTGCAAAGCTTCATGTCGGCGTCGAGCGAGAGAAGCCAGTCGTGGAAGATGTCGGCGGTCATCCATGCTTGCGGCGCCTTCTTCATGCCTAGCGCTTCGAGCGACGCGTCGACCTTGACCTCGCTCCCAACGATGAGCGGCGGAATCTTGTGCGACCCTGTCGCGTTGCAGCACAGCAAGAGAGTGATGACGTCGGCGTCTTCTTGCAGTGAGAGCGAGTGGTCTTTTAGGTCGCGGAGAAGCCGACCGGCCGTGTCGGGCAACGTCTGGTAGAGCAGCTGCGTCTCCGAGCCCGAGAAGACATCGTCGGGCGCATAGAGCTTGAGAAGCTCCAGCATGCGCTCCGAGGCATACCAATCGCCCCACTCTTCCAAGGACGGGTCGGGGAGGTCCATTGCCATGGGCAGTGGCGGCGCCGTCGCGGCGTGGCGCTGCTTCCGGAACGAGATGTGGTGGCGCTTGCAGAACGCCTCGAGCCAGCCGTTCGAAGCCTTGAACGACTGCGCTTGCGGCACACGCTTGGCGAGCTCGAGCGCTTTTTCTTGCACCTTGCTGCCGGAAATCGGGCCTTTCTGCGCCTTGTACCAGTCCCAGACCATGTTGTTGAGCACTTCATGGCGTGCCTTGCGCTTGGGCGCATTCGATGGCGGCGCTTCAGCTTCGTACAAGGTCTTGGCCTTCTTCTTCAAGATGTTGTTGACCGTGCCAAGGCCAATGTCGAAGTCACGGGCGAGATGGCGCTGGCTCACGCCAGAGTCGGCCCGCTGAATGAGATCGATCTTCTCAACTAGTGACGTCTCGCGCCGCTGCCGCTTGCGCTTCGGGAAGAGCGCAATCGCTTCGTCCGCGCTCGTACTCGACGGCGTGGCCGCGGCCACGAACGGCTCGTCGCCTGCCAGCAACGACGCCATGCCACGCGTATCCGGATTCCGCCGTAATGTCCGGATACTCTGCCACGGTTCGTACACTATTTACGTCCATGAGGATAGCGCCCCTACACCGCCGGCTGTCGGCACAACGTTGCGCGGCGTACTGGATTCACGAGTACCGTAATGGCGTGATGGGTTTCGAACTTGCGCCTTTTCGTGCTGTGCCCAACGACGTTGCCAATACGATCTTATTGAACACTATTTGATGGATACGTGACCATGTGACGATGTTGAAGCTTGATGTTGAAGCAGCGCCACCCAACCTGGCCCGCCCAGGCGGCCACGATGGATGGCTTCGACATGCTTCACTCGGCATCACCTTCGGCGACCATCGCTGGCGCGGTGCGATGGCTCGGAGTTCATGATGGCGGCGCCGTGCTCGTAGCGCAATTGAGTTTCGCAATTGAGCTTCACGATGGCGCTGGCTGCTTCAAGCCCAAGGGCCACCTGCAGGCACAGAGAATCAACGTTGAAGTTGGCTATCACTATCGAGTGCATCCTTGGAGCCCACGGCTCGAGCCCGTCATTGACAGACCTCCATCGCAACCAAGCGGCGGCTAGGAAATGAACAATTGCGGGCGCAGATAGCAGGATCCCTCGAGAGGCCAAGCATGTACCTTCGCGACGGGCCAGGGCTGCGTGGCGCCAACGGCCAATCGTGGCGCCCAATCTCCACTTGCACCCGGCGCCTGCCGTCCACCAATGGCATCGCACATGTCGCATGTGGTGGATGTGGCGAGCTCAAAAATCAAGCAAACTCAATTTCCTTTCGTGGCCCCACAAAATCCACGTGGTGTTGACGCGACACGAGCCTTTTGAGTTGCATGCTTACAAATTGAGTTGTATGCTTACAAACACCAAATAGAGGAGGCTTTGAAACGCAACCGGCCGCTGATTGGCCGATGCGTTGAGTTTCGTCAAAAGGTGTCGAAAGGCGACGTGGGGTTGCGACACACGACGCCACTTCATTTCCTTTCGTGATCATGCTCGCCAAAGCCGCCTCGACCGCCACCCGCGGGTGTACGTCCATCCCCATCTTGCGCCACGCTCCACGGAGCATGGAAGCTAGGAATCGAGGTTGACGCTGTATATGCACCTCTAGTCTCCTCGCAAGCCAAGAAGATCGCCGTCGCCAACCCCGTCGTCGACCTCGATGGTGATGAGATGACGCGTGTGATCTGGGACCAGATCAAGTCCAAGTTTGTCCACCCGTACCTCGACCTGAACATCGAGTACTTTGACTTGGGCCTCCCGAACCGCGATGCGACCAACGATCAGGTCACGATCGACGCCGCTCACGCCATCAAGGAGTTCAACGTCGGTATCAAGTGCGCGACGATCACGCCCGATGAGGAGCGTGTGCAGGGTACGCGCTACATGACATGGCCTCCGTGCTCATCATAGCTGCGACGTAGAGTTCAAGCTCAAGCAGATGTGGAAGTCGCCCAACGGCACGATCCGCAACATCTTGAACGGCACGGTCTTCCGCGAGCCGATCGTCATCTCGAACGTGCCCCGCCTCGTGCCTGGCTGGAAGAAGCCGATCGTGGTCGGCCGCCACGCCTTTGGTGACCAGTACAAGTGCACGGACTTTGTCGCGAACGGCCCGGGCAAGTTTGAGATGAGCTTCACGCCGGCTGATGGCAGCGCCAAGCAGTCGTGGGAGGTCTATGACTTCAAGGGCGCCGGCGTTGGCATGGGCATGTACAACACGGAGGACTCGATCTACGCGTTCGCCCACTCGTGCTTGTCGTTCGCGCTCACGAAGAAGCAGGACTTGTACCTCTCGACCAAGAACACGATCTTGAAGAAGTACGATGGCCGCTTCAAGGACATCTTTGAGGAAGTCTACCAGGCCGAGTACAAGGCCAAGTACGACGCGGCGGGCATCAGCTACACGCACCGCCTCATCGACGACATGGTCGCCCAGGCGCTCAAGTCGGACGGTGGCTTTGTCTGGGCCTGCAAGAACTACGATGGTGATGTCCAGTCGGACATTGTCGCCCAGGGCTACGGCTCGCTCGGCCTCATGACGTCGGTGCTCCTCGCGCCCGATGGCAAGACGGTCGAGGCCGAGGCCGCCCACGGCACGGTCACGCGCCACTGGCGCGAGTACCAGAAGGGCAAGGCCACGTCGACGAACCCGATCGCGTCCATGTACGCCTGGACGCGCGGCCTCGCGCACCGCGGCAAGCTCGATGGCAACAACGAGCTCATCACGTTCTGCAATGACTGGGAGTCGGCGGTCATTGAGACGGTCGAGAAGGGCTTCATGACCAAGGATCTCGCCATCTGCGTCCACGGCACGTCGAACGTGACGCCCGACCAGTACCTCACGACCGAGCCCTTCATGGACGAAGTCAAGAAGACGTTGGATGCCAACCGTGCCCGCAAGTAATTACTATAATCGACGAGCAATCGAAGCCCTGTTGTCCCATCCTTCCTCTTCGTCCTTTACGCATTACGATGGAACTGCCAGCAACAGCATGGTGCATCCTTGGTTCTCAGAGTCGAGCACGACCCTACGTACGCACGACCCCAGAACGCCACCACCATATCGACCGGTGTGGTCATGCGTGCAGGCTGCCTGCGCCCCGCAATTGCTTGTGGCATGCATATATCAACGCAGCAGCTCGCCTTGGCAAGTGGTACCGTGACGTCGATCGTCTTCGAGCTACATAGCACACTCGGCTTGCCATTCGCCGTACCTTTGCTCGTCGACTCGAAGCTCTTCGGATGTGTCCTACAACGTGGAGACAATGGCGACAGGCTGCCACTGCTGGTATACTACGGCCGTGGCATTGTCATTTGGTCGGGTTCCGAGTTGGTGGAGCTTGGTCTGGGGCTGGTAGACGGCGCAGAAGGACCCAATGTCGGATCTTTGGGTCTGCGAAATCGGGTCGAGCTCGCCACGCGCAGCGCAGACGTTCAGCGCCTCGAGCCCGTGGCGCCAGCACAAGCACTTCAACTTGGGAGCGAGGAGGCACCGACCACGATAGAGCCGAGGTTGTCACGGCTCGTTCGCTTGACGATCCGTGGTCGGGCATCTCGAGATGGCGCGTCGTTTCGTCCGCTATGGAATCATACTCGTACAAGTGCTAACCCTCGTCCAACCCAGAGAGCTTTGACAACGTCCATTCAACGGTATTATCGATGCGTGAGGTATCTACGCCATGGACGGCGCGTGGTCCTCTGTCGAGGTCTTGCGCGTGTACCCGCGCTCCGCCTTGGGGCGGAAGCATGCGCGGCCCGACTTGCGGCAACGGTAGACGCCAAAGGCGACCACAAGCGCAGTCAGAACCGCAACAAGGACGCCGATAAGTGTCCCGGTGTGCGACGTACTGGTACTGACGTACGATCCATACATCGTCGGCTGGTGGGGCTCGTACGCAGGGACCGGCACAGCGGTGTACGTGGTCACAGGCGGCGACGCCATTGGCGTGTACGCGCCGGGCAGCCCGCCGGGAACGGTGCCCGCGACGTACACGCGGCCCGAGCCCGCGACCGCGGTGGCGAGGGTTGTCGTCGACTGAACGTAGGCGCTACCGCTGCCCGTGACGACGACGGACGTGTCGCGGCAGTTCATGGCGCTCACAAACGCATTGCCCGCGCCAGAAATGGAGACCTTGTGCTCACGGCAGATGCCAGCCGCATACAAGTTGACTTGGCCCGTGCCATCGACCGACGTGGCCACCGAGGAAGACACATTCACGAGCGACGAGGCGCCAACGTAGGCTTTGCCCGAGCCCGTCGCGGCCATCTTGAGCGAGCCGACATCCAGCGTTGTCGTCAAGAGCGCCAGCGTGCCCGAACCACCGACAGCAACGTTCAAACCCGAGTTTACCTTTGTCACCGGTACTTCCCACTGGAGCCGGCTTGAGCCAGACACCGAGATGGTCAAGTTTGCAAGCTCAAGAGACGGCGCCGAGACGTACACAGCACTGGAGCCCGTCGTTGTCAAGACAACGGACGTGGTCTGGAGTGCGTAAGGGGCCACGACCACGTCGCTCGAGCGCATGGCGCGAAGCGACGCCAGCGACCGCGTCGGCATGTACACGTCAATGAGGTAGCGCACTTCAGTGTTGCGGAGGCGGTCGTAGCCATCTTCGGCAAGATCAAAGCCGAGAGCTTTGCCGTCGTCTTGGAATGCAAGACTGTCGAGGAAGGCTTGGGAGTCGGCGCGCACGACAATGGATGGTGTCGGTGCGTCGTAGGCGCGGATGAAGGCGTGAAGCGGGACATTGAGGCTATCGGTGGCGGTTGACGAGCTATTGTAGATCTTTACGGGCCACGCCGAAGATGTCATTGTTGTTGTTGTTGTTGTTGAGAGAAAAAGGGAAAATGAAACGTGGGAACGGGCCTCGCGCGGTTGTGGTATCACCACGTTATCGAGGTTCGCCGTCATGTCCAACACCGCCGCGTCACTTTGCGACGATTAGGTTATGAAAAAAAAACATATTTGTGTTATCCACATGCAATCCATCCGCTCAAACTGCTCGACGGCGCTTGCCACAGGTTTCGAGTCGTGGACGATGGTAGGGGTCTGCACACAACTCGTTTCAATGGTTTCAGCCGACGACGGGTACTACGAGGCAGCTGAGCGCAAATGTGACGTGCACACAGCAGCAAGCTAGACGCGGTGAGGCGTGAAATGGACTTGGGCTCACGCCAGAGCAAGTTGGTGCGACTGGATTCAGTGATTTACAGAATGCATTTTGATTGGACACGTTAAAACATATGTCGTCATGATCACATCTCATGCAAGACCATCAAACCTTTCGTGTCCTTTCTACATGCATTCTTGCTATTTTTTCGGCAGCCTCAGCACGTACCTTCACAGGCGCCAATTAGGGTCCTAAATACTGCAAGCGGATCTGTATTTGTGACGGGCGCAACCACCAAAGCAAGGTATACCACGGGCGAGAGGGGTCGCGAGGCAGTCGTTAGTCGGTCGTTAGTCGGTCTTTAGCTGGTCTTCAGTTGGTCGTACCTTGCCACAACTGACGACGGCACGTCATGCATGAGCCCGAAGTTTCAGCATGTATGTGTGTGCGCTGTTGGTCTTGTTTATCGCTCGATGAGTTTCGCCCACTGCCGACGGGTGCGGATCAAAAATGAGCGGAGCCCGGCAGAAAAATGAGCGAGGCTGGAAACGGTACATAAATGAGCGAAATTTAACCACAATTACCCTTCCCCTTTCCCTGGCAGAGCCTTTGGCGGGCCAAGAGTGCCGGCTCGGGTTAAATTGGACAACGGATTTGCACTTCGTGCAAACCCGCAGCCGATTTAACCCTTTATACACATCGCGTCCGCTCATTTTTCTGCCGTTTGGAGCCTCGCTCATTTTTCTACCGGGCTCCGCTCATTTTTAATCTTTTTTCCACTGCCGACATGGCGGACGTAGGCGTTCAGGAAACGATTGGCGCGAGAATGACTTGCGACGGGATTCACAGTCGTGGCTCCATCTAGTACTCCAGCACTAATGACTGCGGACGCGCCGCCACACAACCAGTACTCGTGTCGGCCCCCTACCCCAAACCTAGCTAGCTCAGTACTAGCAAGGGATTGATTATTGACCCTTGGTACTAGGACGCGTTGCAATTCGCTGCATAGATATGCCATGGCAATGGTATTTCTTCAGCACAAGCCAGCACAATTCTTCAATTGGAGTATTTCCTGGGTACCAAGATCGCTGTGTCCGTAAGAGGAGCCACGTGAAACTGCCAAGCGAATTCCCGCCTCTTGGATCGGTATGCAGCGAGTATGGTCCGAGTGGCTCTCGGAGCGCGTTGGCCCCTTGTACGTCGTGGTCTCCGTCGCACTGAGCCTTCTCGCCCTTGAACACATGACCATCTACTTGGCGACTGATACATTTTGGCCCAACTTTCCACTGGTATCCGTATCGCTTCAGCAACTTGTCAACAATGCACTCTCGCATACGTCCGCACCCACGGCCCTGGACCTCTTGGGACCATCGCACGTCCTTCTCGCCGACGCTGGTACTATCTCGCCAGTCTACCCTCGGCTGCTCCTGTACGAAGCGCTCACGGACCTCACGTCGGCGGTGACAGGCCTTCGCCAACTGGACACGAATCATGTCGTGCTCATG